TATATATATATATATATATATATATATATATATATATATATATATATATATATATATATATATATATATATATATACACACACACACATACACACTTAAATAGCTGCATTACAACTTACATTATATATATACACACACATACACACACCTCTACCTCGATATAACGTTGTCCTCGGGAGCCAAAAAATCTTACTGCGTTATAGGTGAAACCGCGTTATATTGAACTTACTTTGATCCACTGGAGTGCGCAGCCCCCCCCAACCCGGAGCACTGCTTGACCACGTTATATCCAAATTAGTGTTATATCGGGTCGCGTTATATCGAGGTAGAGGTGTATATATCTTTTCATTAATTTAGTTTCACGCTGTAACATCTCTGCAGTAAAACCCATACTAACTGTTTAGATACAATACTTAAAGTGCCAAAAGACTGTTTTTCTCCCCGTCCTCAGAGAAAAGCAGGCCAATCTTGTAAATTAATAAAAACTGACAGCGAATGCTATAGTTAGGGTTCTGTTATGAAAGTCTCTATGTAACCTTGTTTTGAGCTGCCATTAATTATCTCCAAAATTTTTCTTTTGGGTTAAAGATATCCATACAATCTCAACTAAATTACTACTTCCTTGAAAGTTTGGCCAAAACAGCTGGTCAGCTGTCTGAGTTAGCACAGCATTGAATTAATATGTACTTTCCTGATTAAAAATTATCTAGATCTTGTGCATGGATCACTCAAACAGTTAATCATGTACATAGACATCTCTGAGGAACGGTCTTCAAATTAATTTTTAAAAATAAAAATTAATCTATAAATTGTTTTTTTGCATATAATGCTAAATTTCTAGTGAGTCATTATTTGTAGTTCTTTACATGACCATATTGTTCGGTAAACATATTAGCATCGATAGTTATATTGGGGTGGTTTGGGGAACCTATTCCACTGAAAAGTTCGTTAGTTGTATATGGTTTCCATTTTACAGAACTGTAACAAAATTAGCATTTATTTTTTCTTCTCCCTCTCTCCTGGTCTTTGGTGTTTTTTGTTTGTTTTTGTTTTAACAAAAGAGAGATGTTAAATGTTAAATACTTGTTTTGATAAAACTATAGTTAAAAAGTTAACCACACAAATCTCAAAATTCAAAAGGTAATGCTCCTACAGAAACCTTAACCTTAATATTTTATACTTGTAGCATTTTGTAGTCCGGTTTTTCTGGTTAAATATATATAATAAAATATAAATTACAGCTGAAATTCACCCAGGTGCAGAAAGCTGGCATAAGAGCTTCAGCAACATATTAAGTCCTAGAGGGCACAGCCTATGTGTCAAAGAGGGGTCTCTGTGCCGGCCTGCATAAACAAGAATGGGCTGGGCTGAGTGAGGATCTACTGGATCAACATTAAATGGATCCAGAGACCCCAGCAGCCCATTTCTGTGATATGAAAGAGCAGGAAATGGCAGTAAACAAGCTTATAGCTCAGTGCTTCTCAAAGTCAAGCCACTGCTTGTTCAGGGATAGCCTCTGGCAGTCCGGACCGGTTTGTTTACCTGCCGCATCCGCAGGCTTGGCCGATCGTAGCTCCCACTGGCCGCGGTTCGCCGCTCCAGGCCAATGGGGACCACGGGAAGGGCGGCCAGCACATCCCTCAGCCCGCGCCGCTTCCCGTGGCCCCCATTGGCCTGGAGCGGCGAACCGCGGCCAGTGGGAGCCGCGATCGGCCGAACCTGCGGATGAGGTAGGTAAACAAACCAACCCGGACTGCCAGGGGCTTTCCCTGAACAAGCAGCGGACCAGCTTTGAGAAGCATTGTTATAGATGATACTCTTCTGTACACTGATCCTTGGTTTTGGGGGTGGATTTTGCCTCCCTTAACTATGCATTATGCACATGGGTGAGTTACCTTTCCTGTAGAAATCTTGCCTTTATGTTGCCTGTCTTCCGCATTGTTTAACTGCAATCTTATATTGCCTTTAATCAGTAAGCCAATTTCAGACTGCTTTTGGTCTCAAAGCTGATTTAAACGAATGCTGTCAAAGCAGAGTCAATTTGTGCCAGGATTCTACTACTCGATCATCCTTCACAGAGATTATGTCTGACAAGAGCATGAGTAATCCAATATAAATAAGGGATTCTGCAGAAGGTACAGTGTTGTCCAGCTAACACATATGAACCATGCTCTCAGTTCATAAGATCTAGACCAAAACACACCTCATAGCTCAATGCAGAACAAAGATAAGAATTCTTTTTAACTCACCTCGTAATGTTTTCATATGCTGAACAGCCATTCTCAGTACAGTAAGTTTATCTAGCTTTCGGGACATAGCATTGCACGTTGGTACCAAAGATGCTAATTCATCAATAAAACTGTTCATTTTATCTCGACGTCTTTTTTCAATCTGGCTATGAGCCTCTCTAAGCAATAACAAAAATTTAAGATTGAATTACGTAATGAAGTTTCAAATGGTCAGAAAAAATAAAAAACAATTAATTTTAAAGTAGTAGACTACAAGGCCCAGCCTGCCCCCCTTATTCATAAGGCCACACACACAAAAGTAGTCCCACTGAAGTGAATATTAAAAGTTAATTACTTGTGTGAATAAGGGTTATTCATGGGAGTAAAGGTGGCAGGATGGGGCCCTAATTTAGCATCAGATACTCATATCACAGGCAGCACTGTATGCTGCCTTATTTACAATAAATACTGAAATTATCTGATAAGCAGGTTCCATCTATCTGAAGTTTTTTATACTGCTGCCTTGGTATCTGAGCACATCTACTGAGGTACTACAGGCATTATGTAAAAATCAAGCTCAAGATCATAGATGCATAAGTTCCAGGGTGTACAGAACTGGATGAGACAACAATTCATGCCAAAGAATAGCATTAAAAAGTGTAAATATTATAATTCACTATAATATTCAAATTCTTTACTGAAGTATATGCTTTATGTAAATAAGTTTCCTATTTCATCCTATAAATTACTGTTAAAAATATTTTGGAAAACAGGTCTAAACTAGGCTTTTCCTATTGCTTAAAAAAACGGTGAGGAGTATCATATCATTTTGACATTGCACGTTCAAATTCAAAGTGGCTTTTTTTGTTTGTTTTGTATATATTACACAGAATGATAGAATCATAGAATATTAGGGTTGGAAGAGACTTCAGGAGGTCATCTAGTTCAATCACCTGCTCAAAGCAGGACTAACACCAACTAAATCATCCCAGCCAGGGCTTTGTCAGGCCTGACCTTAAAAACCTCTAAGGATGGAGATTCCATCACCTCCTTACGTAACCCATTCCAGTGCTTCACCACCATCCTAGTGAAATAGCGTTTCCTAATATTCAACCTAGACCTCCCCCACTGCAACTTGAGACCATTGCTTCTTGTTCTGTCATCTGCCACCACTGAGAACAGCCTAGCTCCATCCTTTTTGGAACCCCGCTTCAGGTAGTTGAAGGCTGCTATCAAATCACTCTTCTCTTCTGCAGACTAAATAACCTCAGTTCCCTCAGCCTCTCCTCGTAAGTCATGTGCCCCAGCCCCCTAATCATTTTCGTTCCCCTCCGCTGGACTCTCTCCAATTTGTCCACATCCCTTCCGTAGTGGGGGGGGGGACCAAACTGGATGCAATACTCCAGGTGTGGCCTCACCAGTGTCGAATAGGGGGGAATAATCACTTCCCTCAATCTGCTGGCAATGCTCCTACTAATACAGACCAATAGGCCGTTGGCCTTCTTGGCAACAAGGGCACACTGCTGACTCATATCCAGCTTCTCATCCACTGTAATCCCCAGGTCCTTTTCTGCAGAACTGCTGCTTAGCCAGTCGGTCCCCAGCCTGTAGCAGTGCATGGGATTCTTCTTTCGTAAGTGCAGGACCCTGCACTTGTCCTTGTTGAACCTCATCAGATTTCTTTTGGCCCAATCCTCCAATTGTGCTACATGTACTGTAGCACTTTACAGCCTGGTAATGCTATAACACTTATAGCATGCAATGCTTTTGGTTCCGTTTAAAGGGAGTTAGCCATGCTATTTCTATTTAACGTTAATGGGAACTGCTTTTTAACTACACATTTCCAATTAAAAATATACCGTATTAATATTTTAATAAAATTGTATGCAGTTCATAAAAGAACAAATCTTTAAAACTGAAAACGGATGGAAAAGCCAAAGAGAAAAAAACCCATACATAAGCTTTTACTGTGAGACTCAGGCACCGGTGCACAAGGTCCCTAACATGACAGGAAAACTAGAATATCATCTTTTTTCAGTAAGTTAGTTAAGAAATAAAATAGTTTACCTTGCATTTTTTATTCTGCCTTGTTGGTCCGTATATTCCAACCTGTTGAGGAGTAAGTTAAAGTACAAAGTCACAGGTTTATTGCCATTATTTTCTACATAATTTTCTAATAATTCCTTTTGTATACACTAAGTAGCTGTTGGTCTTTAGTTACAACAATATTTTGGGGTGTCATACTGCGTTTAGAAAGGATTTTTATTTACAGTAGATTTTCACAGTAAGTTTTATGTTACTTTCTATTCTAGCTTTAACATTAAGCCCTTCCTGATCCTGCAAATTCTCAGACTCACATGGAGCCCAGCCCCTGTGACTTCAGTGATATGCCACACAAATGAAAGAGTTCACCCACAAGGATCTGGTCTCTAATTAAATCTCTTGGAATGCACATTTTAGTAATAATGTAACAGTACCTTCCGTGTTGGTCATCTTTATCTGTATCCATACCTTCTCTACAAAAATAAAAACAAAACAGCATGTCAGAAATACAGTGAAATTAGCAAATGTCAACTTGTTTATGAAGTAAGCATTTATTCATGCTTCTTAAAGGAAAATCCGACATAGTTATCGCAAAAAATCATAATTAAATGTTTCTTTTGTCTTTAAACCTTTTAGTACAAAAAATAATGCATCAGTTTATTCAAAGAGAACATAAAAATGTTTCTGTGAAATAGTATGAGGGGACCACATCAATGGAATAAACCAAGATGTTCAAATAATTGTACCAGGCAGTAAAACAGGCTTCAATTCAGAGAAGACATCACTGTTATTAAAATGTCCTTTAATCTACTGATATGTCCTTTTAAGTTTTTCTTCTAAGCAGAAATACTTTTAATCCATTAACAGTCAACTTGCACTGGCAAAACACACAAAAAAAGATTCACAGTAGCAGATTCATTATGGACTCTACAAATAGTCACTCTAAGTTCCACGTCTTCAAACTTCAAAGTCTTCAGCTAACAGTCAAAAGTTCTTCATGTTCGGTTTAATCTTTACTTCAGGTCACTTCTAAATTGAACCTAACTAAGTTATATAGATTTCTCATTCTGTTTAAGATTCCTTTTTGACTCTTGGTGTTCACATTCTTGCATGGAGTCTGCAGGTGCAGATCAATGAAAGAGAAAAATTCTCTCTTTATACTCCTTCCCCCACCCCATTTATTTAAAGATTTGTTCTTGATCTCTTATTTCAGAGCACCACAATTCATTTTCTTCATTTTAAATTCTTTACTATATCTGTTCCAATGGGAATCTGGAAGTACCTCTCAAAATAGAGTTCGCTTTGAAATTCATCTGTGAGCTAATATTCATAGAGGACTTAAATACATTGATGCTAGGGAGCTCCTACCAGTGGATTCTAATCTAGGAATCTACCTGTAAAGATCTGAGGGTGCAGGTTCTCAGTTTCAGTGGGTCTAGAACCTGAGATGGTGGGGACCCTGCGGTCAGACACTCCCTCATCTCCACAAAGAGAGACAGATGAAACACCACCTCACCAATCCTGGAAGGTCAGACCCCCACAGGAAGTCCTATCAGAATGCCCAATTGGCTCATGCCCTTTACGTAAGCCCGGAAGTGACCAGGGTGGGCTGTCCAAGCAACCAAGCAGAATGTATGCTGCTGCCAGGTCAGCCAGTAAAAAAGACGGTTACTCACCGTTGTAACTGTTGTTCTTCGAGATGTGTTGCTCATATCCATTCCAATTAGGTGTGCGCGCGCGCCGCGTGCACGATCG